TTCCTGCCCCCCAGCCACCCCACAATATGGCCTTCCTGGCAGGTGTTGATGGTGCGCGAAGCCGAGCTGCAGCCCATGAACCCGCCCCGCTTTGACTTGCTGGAGGATATGGCAATGATGACGCACCTCAACGAGGCCACGGTGCTGCACAACCTGCGCCAACGTTATGCTCGCTGGATGATCTATGTGAGCCGTGGGTCAGGAAGGGGCCATGGATGGGGCGGGGCTGTGTGTGCTTGGGGCAGGGTCATAGCAGTAGGGGCGGGGCTTGAGGTAGTGCCACGGTGCTGTGGGGCCAGAGCCATGGGGAAGGGGCGGGGCCGTGAGCATTGAGGGGCGGGGTGATGTCCTGGGCTGTGGAGGCGGGGCACGAGCTGGGTTAGGGCTAGAGGTGGCGCTGGAGGTTCGGTTCTGGGATTGTAGGGGCGGAGCGTCAGCAGCGGGGGCGCGGAGCTGGAGATATGGACTCTCGGCAAGAATAAGGGCTGGGGTGGGGCTAGGACAGCCACAGAGGTTTGGCATGGCACAGTGAGTGGCTCCTTGGGGAATATTACAAGGGTCATGGTTTTGTGAGGGTGGAATGGAAACTTGGCCTCCAACACCCACCTCTACACTCTCTCCTCAGACTTACTCGGGCCTGTTTTGTGTCACCATCAACCCCTACAAATGGCTCCCAGTCTACACACCCTGCGTGGTCGCCGCTTACAAGGGAAAGCGCCGCTCAGAGGCCCCGCCCCACATATACGGGGTGGCGGATAACGCCTACAATGATATGCTGCGCAGTAAGGGCCGCCTGCACTCCTCTTCCTCTCTCCACCCAAGCCCCCTACCCCAGCTGCAGGGAAGCCTCTGTAAAGGACCCCCTTCCCTCCATTTGCATTGTCCTCCTTTTGATACTGCCAGATACTCTAGTATAGCCATTCTGTCTCTCCAAGTGGGAGTTGGCCTGCAGTTTGGAGGGTTCCATCCGGTCCTTCCCTTTTCTGGCCTTCGGTGGTGGAGGGGCTGCCCCAGTGCCATGGATACCCAAGTTGTTCCACCTGGGGCTGGTCCCGCACCTTAGCTAACTTCTCCATCTCCTTCCCTTTCCGCCAGACCGAGAAAATCAGTCCATGCTGATCACGTAAGTGTGGGGCTCTGGGGATGGGGTGGGAAATGCTGGCCACCTGGCAGAAAGGGAGTGGAACTCAAATAATTTCCCAGGGTTGATTCTAAAGTGCTTAGGGAAGGACTTTTACCACCTGGAGCCAGTATCCCAGCCAAAGCTAAATTAGAGCATGTTCTCCCCGCCCATTCTGGGCAGGCACATTATGGATTGATGGACAGGGAAGGGATACCCAAGTACCAGAGTGATCACCAGCCGAGATTACCCTTCTCCCCAGTGCCTGGAATCTTCTTCCACCTTGATCTTTTGGGAGTTCTGATTGTGGCTCAAAAAGAGTGAGGAGATTCCATCCCCTTTCCTCTTTCTTACCATCTCTATCTCTGAATCTTATTTCTGATCCTTCATTTTGCCCCATGGGAAAGTGGTAGAATTCTTACATGCTAAGTTCATGTCTAGCCAAGGCAATATGGAAATTGTGTGTAAATGTGCGTGTATGTGCAGTCTGGTGGTTAAGAGCAAGGTCTTTGAAGCCAGAAGGACCTGGGTTCAGGTTCTGTGTTCACTTCCTGCTGCTGGTGCCCTTGGGTTTCTGAGTCTCATCAGTAAAAACAGAAAAATCCTACCCACCTACCATGCAGAGCTACAAGGAGTCAACAAGTTAATTATACGTGCCTGGCACACAGCAGGGACAGTCACATAACTTCTCTGAGCCCCATTTCCTTATCCATGAAATGGGGTGATAATGGTGCCTGCCTTACAGGGTTTCTAAGGCTTAAATGAGCCAATACAGGTAAAGCACTTGGCCCAGTGCCTGGCATTGAGTTAGCGCTCAGTCAACAGTGGCATCATGTGTGTTCTCATCTCACAAGGATGGTCTACACTGGCTTGCTTTGTGAATGACTCAACACCTCTGAGGGCTATCTATCTGGGAGGGGGTCATTTGAGTTGGGGGTCCTAACTTGGGAGCTGGGTTGGGAGAGGGCAGAGGGGTCCTGCTTGAGGGGTGGGGCATTGGGGACTGGGAAGAGTTAGAGTGGCCAGATTGGCATTGGTGACTCATGTTTGTGTTGTCCAAGCGGAGAGTCTGGGGCCGGTAAGACGGTTAACACCAAGCGGGTCATTCAGTACTTTGCCATCGTCGCTGCCCTGGGAGACGGGCCGGGCAAGAAGGCCGTAAGACTCGCCCATTTGGGCGTTCCTCCCCACTTCTCACTGTTTTTCTTTCTCTTCGTTTTTTTTCTTTTTCTTTTTTTTTTTTTTCTCTTCTTTCTTTTTAAGTTGATTCCCCAGAGTCTCCAGCCCTGCCTGAGCCTCCCACCCTGGTGGGGGACTCTGGCCTGAGCAAGGCTTGACCAGAGAGGCTGTGGCCACCTCTGCCACACTGTGTGACCCAGTTCCGGGCCTGTCTCAATGTTCCCAGCTGTAACACAGAGGGATGGGACCACATCAGTATTCCTAAACTTTTAATGTAATTTCTCTCTCAATGCGACCTTCACATTTTGAAGGAATTTACCAAAGAGGCCACTTATACTAAGAAGTGATTGTTGTCTTGGTTTTCATGCTCCAGTTATCTGCTGTCAGTCAAACAACCGGCTTATGCGGAGTTTAGCCAGAGCGAAGGGCACTTCGCATTCCCAACAGTCAGTGGAGGGGGCAATTTTGCACCCTGTGACCTCTGTATAGTTTTTGAAAATTTCTGAAACAATGGTGGACCAGTGTTTTGTTTTGTTTTTGTTTTCGAGGTACAACATTCATTCCTAGCCTCTGGGCCAGTTGTTCAGAGCCCTCCTCCTCTCCCAACCCACCCCAGACCTGGCGGCCTTTTCTTTCCAGAAGCCCAAAGGCCTCTTCCCACACAGCCCCCTCTCCTGGTCCTGTTGAGCCTTGCTTTATTTTGGGGCATTTTTCTTTTTCTTTTCTTTTTTCCACTTTAAGTTTTCTTTTGTCTTTTTTTCTTCTTGCCTTTTCCTTTTTCCCCCATTTGATTTTCTTGGTTTTTGATTCTTATTTCAGTTTTGGTTTTTTGTTATGGTGTTGTTTTGTTTTTGCTGTTGACTTTTTGGTACCCTTGCCTCCTTCCCCTTTCCATCTGTTTTCCAAACCCCTAAAGTGTCTGTGAGGATGCTGCAGAAAGTGGGGGCTTGGTTCATTAACAGGAATGGAGAGTAAAGAGAGGCGAGAGCTGGCAGATTGGGGGGGGTAGGGAGGACCTGGGCAGAAAGGAGCCCTGCATCATGTATTCTGGAGGTGGGTGTCACGCAAGGGAGGTGGAGATGAAGGCTGGCCCACAGGGGCCATGGGTGCAGGAACTTAAAAGCCTATCAACTCCCCCTCCCTTCAGCCCCAATTTGACTACACCTGCCAGAAACAGCCCTATTTAGAAGCCTTGGCCATGAGTGTGTAGAGTGGAGCTGGGGGGGGGGGGGAGGGGAGCCCTGCTATTTCCCTCCGGCCTCCATCCCCCCCGACAATATTTCTGGGGGCATTTTTTAAAGTCTTGGGCTCCCTGGAGGTGAGTCAATAACCAAACTGTCCTGGTGGCATGGCACCTGTCACTCTAGAATCTATTCTTTCCTTTTCCTCCCTTTTTCCCCAGGCTGCTGGGATCCAGGGTAGGGAAGAAAAGGAAAGGGAAACGGAGGGAAGACAAGGATGAAGCTAGGAGAGGAAATGGGGTGGGAGTTCCTCTCAATTCAATTAGTCCCTCTAGGTGAGACAGACAGGTGGCTTTGGGTGTCGTGGGAGGCAGGTGCCTGGGCTCAGTGCCTGCTCTGCCCCCTACTTACTGTGTGGCCTTGAGCAGATCACTTCCCTGCTCTGAGTCTTAGTTTCCTCATTTGCAAAGCAGGGTGATATGCACCTGGTACGGCTATTCTGAATAATAGTCAGTGTACAATTGTACAGTGAAGATGTACCTAGTCACACTGCAAAGAAGTGTGGAGAAGGGCTATGGCAGAGGGAGGTGAGGGTAAGAAGGTTCAGGTGAAAGACATCTCTTCCAGCCATAGAGCATCAGGGAAGCCTTTCTAGAGGAGGGGACTTGTGAAGGGGAGTAGATTTTAATCAGGAGCCTCTAGTGCTCGGGGGCAGGGGCCACTTCCTGGAATGCAAGAGATAAAGGAACATGGAGGAGGCCAGAGACGGCGCTGGGGGAAGGGAAGGGCTGCAAACAGGAGCCTTCCAGAAGCAGCCCAGGCCTCCATGCCTCAAGACCCTGACTAGGGCCATGCCTGCTCCTACCTTCTAGCATGTCTCCTGGTAACAGTCCTGGGAGGGTGAGGCGTGGAGAGCGGGTTGGGAGCGGGGCTACACATTTGGATGACTAATGTTTACTGTCCTGCTAACTGCTGCCACCCCTGTCCTGGTGAGACCTCACACCTTCTAACTGTGTCTTCCTTCTCCCCCCAGCAATTTCTGGCCACAAAGACTGGGGTAAGTGTGGGGCCAGTGTAAGTGGGACATGCAGCAATTATGAAGTCCTGGGGCCCACTCCCCGCGTCCCCTTCCCAACCCAGGGGTTGTGTGGGATGGGCTGGTACCCAGGACCATGGCTGCTCTGGTGGCCCAGTCCGTTAGCACCGCTCACCCCACCAGGGCACTCTCGAGGATCAAATCATCGAGGCTAACCCTGCCATGGAGGCTTTTGGCAACGCCAAGACCCTGCGGAATGACAACTCATCCCGCTTTGTGAGTGGCCACAGTGGGAGAGGTGGGTGGTTGGAGTGGGGTCAGCAGCAGGGGAGACACGGGTGGTGGGAACCTTCAGCAGATAGCGCAGCTCTGGCTGGGCCCCCTGACTGAGGCGGCTCCTCTGCCCACAGGGCAAGTTCATCAGAATTCACTTTGGTCCCACTGGGAAGCTGGCATCTTCGGATATTGACAGCTGTGAGTCTGGGAGAGGGTGGGGGAGGGCAGGGACGAGGACCGAGACCTGGGCCTGAGTCTCTTCGCTGGGAATAAGCATCCGTCATCAAGTCCTTGGGGCTCCCTTCGCTTTTGTCCGTCTCCTGGCCACTGCCCAGCTCAGGCCGCCTCACCCCTCACCCAGAACATTCTATCAGCCTCCATGTGTTCTCCCTGCCTCCATTTCCTCTGCTTGATCTTCCAGCCAGAGTGACCCTTTCATGGGTACTAATCTGATCACATCCTGTTCCTGCTTAGAAACCTTTTCTAGACCCTGTCACTTTAAGATGCAGACTCAAATCCTTATTTGGCTAGTCAGGCTCTTTGTGCTTGGGCCCTTACCTCACCCCAGTCTTTTCTCTGGCCATGATAGAGCAGGCCTGTGCCCCTCCTGCCCCAGCCTCATCTCTACACATCGAGTCCCCCTCCTTCCGGGAAGCCCCTCCTAGTGCCTCTCAGGGTTGTTGCCCATCCTGCCTCACCCAGCCTGGCTGCACAGACGCCAGGTGCCCAGGCCACAAGCACAGAGGGGCCCCCACACTGACCACTCCCCACCTTGGGGTGCGTGGGCAGGTCCTGATGGATAAGCACAGGCGTGTGGTGGCAGGGGCGGGGAACGTTGTAATTCATGCCCCGACCGGCCACGTGCAGACACTCTGCTCACACACACTACACACCAGCACTGCTGTGGAGGAAAGGCACGTGGTCGTGAATGAAGGAATGAAAGCATAGACTAAAGGATGGACAAATGAATACCTCCACACACAGACATCCACATGTACACACACACACACACACACACACACACACACACAGTTACACACGTGTACAGGTGGATACACATTCCCACACTGTGACGTGCACGGATGGAGAGACACCCTTTAGTACGCGTTGGCGTGTGTGCAGACACTGCCTCTCCACACCCCCTGCCTCTCACCAACACCTCCGCCTGCCCCCTCAGCCCTATTGGGGGGACCTGCTCTGGGGAGCTGCAGGGGACGGTAGGCCAGTGCCTCCCTTTCTCCCAGATCTCCTGGAGAAGTCACGGGTGATCTTCCAATTGCCTGGTGAGCGCGGCTACCACATCTACTACCAGATCCTCTCGGGGAAGAAGCCAGAGCTGCAGGGTGAGGGCAGGGATGGGCAGGGTGAGGGCGAGAGCACATAGAGCCGGGTGCGAGTGCTGCTGCCTGGCCCCTTCCTGGCCATCAGACCAGGCCCTGGGATGTCCGTTCCCTCACTGTTCTGGGGGCTGTGACATCCCATCTTTCTCGGAGCCCCTTCTGTTTCCCCTACTCCCTTCCTGAAACTTCTGGTTATCGATGAGCCCCCTCCTTATGTTAGGGTACAGGCCCCTTAGTGCCACTGCCCTTGCAGAGTTGTCCCTCCTGCTGTCCTGAGACTAGAGAGGCCCCACCCAGCACTAAGGGAAGACCAAGGACTCTGTCTAGGCCCAGCTCCCTATCTTGCAAGCCCCTCCAGGGCAGAGTCTGGTCCTCTCTGTGCCCTAGCACCCAGCACAGGGTCTGGGCCAGAGGTGGCCATGAGCAATGGTGGAGGGATGAGTGACACACAGGGACTGGGGCTTATTCCTCAGAGAACCATGAAGACAGAGGAGCCATGGACATGGGGTGGGGTGAGAAATAGGCTACAGCGAAGTCCTGGGAGGGCCCTAGACTCTCCTGTGGGGCTGGCTGGCCCTCAGGACCTACCACGCCAGGACAGCGGCAGGAGGATAGCTGGGTGACACAGCCAGACCGGCCTTCTCTGCCCCATGTTCCCTAGACATGCTTCTTCTGTCTATGAACCCCTATGACTACCACTTCTGCAGCCAGGGCGTCATCACCGTGGACAACATGAATGATGGGGAGGAGCTCATGGCCACAGATGTACGTTTGGTGGGAGCAGAGTGGGGCACCTGTAGTGTGGGGCCGCGTGAGGCTGGGTGGAGGTCAGGGCACAGTTTCAGTGCCCTTGGCTTGGCTGGACCCTGGCGGAGCCCAGACTTCTCTGATCCCGACACCTCCCGCTGTCCCCTGCCACAGCATGCCATGGACATCCTGGGCTTCAGTGTGGACGAGAAGTGCGCCTGCTATAAGATTGTGGGTGCCCTCCTGCACTTTGGCAACATGAAGTTCAAACAGAAGCAGCGGGAGGAGCAGGCTGAAGCCGACGGCACCGAGAGTGAGGGGCCCTGACCTTGATCCCAATGTCCTCTCTCTGACCATTACCCCAACCCTTGTCCACAACCTTTTATCTCAGGCTTACCTGGCCCTATTGTAACTCCAGACCCTCACCTTCCTGAGCTTAGTTTGCTGGCCCTGAACTTGTTGACCCCTCCCACTCTCAGCCTGCCAGGTGGGCCCCCAGGTGCTCCAATTCTTGGCCTCCTTCTCCTCATCCCACCCATGTGTCCTGCCAGGTGCTGACAAGGCTGCCTACCTGATGGGGGTCAACAGTGGGGATCTCCTCAAAGGTCTTCTGCACCCCCGAGTGCGTGTAGGGAATGAGTATGTGACCAAGGGCCAGAGTGTAGAACAGGTGAGCTGCCTGCAGGCTGGTGCCCATCTGGGGAGAGCGGGACAGGGTGCCCTCCTCGCCAGGTCCCAGCCCAGCCTCCTCACACCTCCAGGTGGTGTTTGCCGTGGGGGCTCTGGCCAAGGCCACCTACGACCGGCTGTTCCGGTGGCTGGTGTCTCGGATCAACCAGACCCTGGACACAAAGCTGCCCCGTCAGTTCTTCATCGGGGTCCTTGACATCGCCGGTTTTGAGATCTTTGAGGTGAGAGCAGCCCACGCACCCAGGCTCTATTCTGTCCAGGCTGGAGGACCATGGGTTGGTTAGGGTAGGACCTGGGGGCGGGGGTGGACTCACGCACATCTCTGTCCCTCCATGGGCCTCCCTGTCCCCATCCACAAGGAGGCCCGCTGAGCCCGGCACCTCCCTCTGCAGTTTAACAGCTTCGAACAGCTGTGTATCAACTTCACCAACGAGAAGCTGCAGCAGTTCTTCAACCAGCACATGTTTGTACTGGAGCAGGAGGAGTACAAGCGGGAGGGCATCGACTGGGTCTTCATCGACTTTGGCCTGGACCTGCAGCCCTGCATTGACCTCATCGAGAAGGTGAAGCCCGGGGCAAGCTCACTGCCATGCGGAGAGGGTGTGGGTGCAGAGTGAGCAGGCATGCACGTGTCATGTACGTGAGCGAGCATGTGCAAGTGTGCACGTAAGTGTGTGTGCACTGGAGTGAGCTTGTGCACGCGTGTGTGGCTGTGGCCATGTCCATATGTGTGTATGAATGGGAATATGTCCATGTGTGTGATAAGTGTGCTGGAGACTGGGCGTGAAAGCATGCTGGTGAGTGTATGTTAGCAGTGTGAGTGTGCATCCGAGCACCACAGACAACAGCTCCTCCTGCGTGGACACAGTTTTGCAATTATAAGGCCCTCCCTATTGCAGCCACAATTTCACTGGGCCCTCAGAACTGCCCCGGGAGCAGGGCAGAGTATGATGTGCTTGCTTGTTTGTTTATTGGATCGGGAAACATTACGTAAGTCTCCCCATTGTACAAAGAATGGAAGAAAGAAAAATCAAAGAAAATTTGAAAAATCGGAAGTCAAGGGGAAAAAAAATGTTTCCTCTAATCCTAATACAACCAGAATCTTGGCGCTTTGGTTAATTTCCTCCAAGTCATGTATCTTGGGCATCCGTTTTCTATTCCAGACACAGACTCATTTCTCCTCTTTTTCTCTGAAAATGTATTTTGAACATTGAAGGTTTTTGAAGAAGGCACACTAGTTCATGCAGCAGATGATTTTCAGACACTGCATTTCTGTACTCTTCTCCAGTTGGAAACTTAGGCGATCCACATTTTTTTTGCTTTTAAAGAAGCACAAAGTATTCATTTCCTCATTTTGCAGGTTAGGAAACTGAGGCACAGAGAGGCCTAAGGGCCCCACAGATAGTAAGTGAGGAAGCCAAAATTTGAACTCAGCTGCTGTTTTTTAATGTACCATGTGCAAACATGTGTGTGTGAGATCATGGAGTGGGGGGTGATTGGGTACAGAGATGCCAGTTGAGTTTGCACACTTCTCCTAAGTCAAGAGGACATCTCAGAGCTGCGAATTGTGCAGAAGGGGGCTGGAGGCCAAGCCACAAACTTCTCTTTGTCTCTTAGAAGACAGGGCTCCTGGGTGTGGGTCTGGTCTCCGTCAGAGCAGGTGGCTAAGGTGGGGGCGTCTGGGAATGCTCCCAGAAGGAGGGACTTCGGGAAGATGGGCGGCTTGATGGAGGTCCTTCAAGCCTATTCCCTGTCCCTCAGCCGCTGGGCATCCTGTCCATCCTGGAGGAAGAGTGCATGTTTCCCAAGGCCTCAGATGCCAGCTTCCGGGCCAAGCTCTATGATAACCACGCAGGGAAGTCACCCAATTTCCAGCAGCCGCGGCCTGACAAGAAGCGCAAATACCAGGCCCATTTTGAGGTGGTCCACTATGCGGGTGTGGTAGGTGCCTATTGGAACCCCCGCTCTTGACCACGCTCCTCCCTCTTCCGGGTTCCCCCACCTTGGCTCAGCACCTGTCCGGTCTCTGCCAGGTGCCTTATAGCATTGTGGGCTGGCTGGAGAAAAACAAGGATCCCCTGAATGAGACAGTGGTCCCCATCTTCCAGAAGTCACAGAACAAGCTCTTGGCTACTCTCTACGAGAACTATGCAGGCTCCTGCTCCAGTAAGTACTGAGAGACTAGCTTGTCATTCCATAGGGGACTCATAGAGTGATGTCCCCTGGAGTGACTGGTCCCCATGTCTCTTGTAGCTGAGCCCCCAAAGTCTGGGGTGAAAGAGAAGCGTAAAAAGGCAGCATCATTCCAGACAGTGTCCCAGCTGCACAAGGTGAGGCCCAGTCAGGGCCCCATGTAGGCCTCACCCTGCAGCCTCCAGCCCCATCCTCGCTCGCAGCTCTGTCCCCTGCACCCTGGGCGGGCGGCCGTTAAGACTTGCAGTGATGTTTAACTCCTCTCCACGTGAACATCACAGCAAGTCTGTGCTGCTTCCCGTCCCCATGCTGCCTGGGCAGGGTTTTGGGGGATAGGGTGGGAGCCACAGGGGCCTGTGGGAGGGATGGGGGGGTTTTGGGTGGGAGAGTGAAGACCTTGGTGATGGTGATAGGGACCCAGTCAAACAGAAGAGGGCAGAGGGTCACAGGAACGGAATGAAAGGACAGATGTGTGGAGGCTTAGGTGCCTGGCCCCCCCAATTCTCACCAGGCTGATCCACTGTGGTTTCCAATTCTGCTTCTCTGCCCTGTGTGCCTTCTCCCCTCTCCCCACCCCCAGGAGAACCTCAACAAGCTGATGACTAACCTGCGGGCCACACAGCCCCACTTTGTCCGTTGCATTGTCCCCAATGAGAATAAGACCCCAGGTAGTCACCCTGGGGCTAGGTTGGTGGGGTGAGGGGACATTGATGGGAGGGGCCAGGGCAGACTAGAAGCTGGGTGTTCCCCGCCACAGAGCCTGCACAGTCCGGTGTCTGGACTGTTGGTCCTTCTCCGGGGCATGACATGTGTCCATGACCTCTAACCTTTCCTTTTTTTTTTTTTTAATTTAAGTGTATCTGTCACATTTATTTTATTTATTTATTAAAGTTTATTGGGGTGACAATTGTTAGCAACGTTACATAGATTTCAGGTGTACAATTCTGTAATACATCATCTATATATCACATTGTGGGCTCACCACCCAGAGTCAGTTCTCCTTCCATCACCATATATTTGATCCCCTTTACCATAACTTTTCCTTCTAACTCCCACCACATCCAGGGGTCATGGATGCCTTCTTGGTGCTACACCAGCTGCGCTGCAATGGGGTTCTGGAGGGGATCCGGATTTGCCGCCAAGGATTCCCCAACAGGCTGCTCTACGCCGACTTCCGGCAGCGGTGGGTGTCTTCCTGCCCCAGGCCTGGCTTCTCCTCAGCGCCCCCTACACAGCCACAAGGTGGAGGCAGCAGCCTGACGGGGTGGGAAGGGCACACATTTTAAAGCCAAACAGAAGGATAGTTCCAGTCACTGAGAGGATGAGAGGGGCGGGGCAGGCTCCCCTGTGGGAGATGCTGGTGGCTGAGACCTGGGGGTGGGCTTGGGGGAGAAACAAACAGACTTAGGGTGAATACTGGAGGTGCAGCCAGCAGGCTTTGCTGAGGAATTGCATACAGAATAAGAAAGAGACAAGGGTGACTTCCAAGTGTTTGGCCTGAGCAAGTTGGAGTTGGTGGTAGATTTACTGAGATACCAAAACAGTGTTTTTAGATTTGGGGAAGGCTGGGGTGCGGGGTGCGGGGGTAGTGGATTGAGCTCTACTTTGAATATGTCAAATTTCAAATGTCTCAGCAGATATCCTAGAAGTCAAGTCTAGGAGCAGACTGGATTTATTTGTGTGGAGCTTGGGGGCAGGCAGAGCTGGCCGTAGATTTGGGAATTGAATAAGGGTTCATGTGGACTAGACTTTATATAATATCTGACACCTTGTGAGTGCTCAGTGATAATACTACCAGCTCCCTCCCCTGCCCTTCATGGCTTTGATTTTGTCAGGTTGCAAGCAGCCCCTCCCCGCCTTCCAGAAGTAATTGTGGTCATCCACACTGACCATTATACATATGTGTCCATACAAATACTGTACACATGGGCGTGTGCATGCGCGCGCGCGCGCGCACGCACACACACACACACACACACACACACACACACACACACACACTGTTCTGTGAATTTGTTTGTTCATGTAACCATGTCTTGGAGATTGTTCCTTATCAATAGACATAAATCGGCATCATCATTTTTTTTTTAAGAGCAGTTTTAGGTTCACAATAAAACTGAAGGGAAAGTAGAGATTTCCCATACACCCTGTCCCCACACATGCATGGCCTCCCCCATTAGCAACACTCCCCATCCCCACCAGATTGGGACATAGGTTCCCACTGGTGGTCCTACATGGACACATCATTACCATCCAAAGTCCATAGTTTACACGAGGGTTCTCTCTCGGTGTCACATAATCTGTGGCCTTGGATAGATCATCCATTCTGCTATGGCTGTGAAATGTCCCATAGCAGGGAACCCTGTTTTCTTTATTAGTCCCTTAGTGAGGGGCCTTTTGTGTTTCTAGGGTTTTGCCTTCACAGGGTGGCCACAGCCAACCTGATTTGCACGGCCCTGCACACATGTGCAAGTGTATCCACTTTAGGAAGCAGACATGCCAGAACCCTTACTCTTGTTGGTTAGATACTATAGAATTCTCTCCCGACTGTTTCTTCAGTTTGTGATATGCTGTACCATATCACCTCCTTTACATTTTTTGCCTTCTTAAAAAAATTATGAAAAGTGCTGCATGCCTCTTATAAGAAGAACTGCAGCCTCTTAAAGAACTTCACTACTGGATGCGTTTAAACACAATCCAGGGTTTTTCAGCAGAAAGTGCCCAATCCCCCTGTGCCACAATGCCTCCCCCAGGAGCCTCAGCTCTAGCCTGGGAGAGGCCCAGGAGTCTCTCCCCGCTCCCCCCACCAGCCTCCTCGGACCCAGCCCCCTGCTCACCAGCCCTTCCTGCTCACCCAGGTATCGCATCCTGAATCCCGGTGCCATCCCGGACGACACCTTCATGGACAGCAGGAAGGCCACAGAGAAGTTGCTGGACTCGCTGGACATTGACCATACCCAGTACCAGTTTGGCCACACCAAGGTCGGGCGCACAGGAATTAGAGCTGACCCCAGGTGTGGGTGGCCACACTGGACAGGGACATGTCTGCGGTGGAGGTTACACCTGCTGCTCCCCTCCCCCCAGGTGTTCTTCAAGGCTGGGCTGCTGGGCGTCCTGGAGGAGCTTCGTGACCAGCGTCTGGCCAAGGTGTTGACGCTGCTACAGGCGCGGGGCCGGGGCCGCCTCATGCGCCTTGAGTACCAGCGCCTGCTTGGAGGCAGGTGGGTGTGGGTGGGGGCTGGGCGGGGCAGGACACGGGTGGCTCCCAGAACCACCAGGCTCTGCGAACCTTGTCATACTATCCTGTGGGTCAGATTACCTCTATGGCTGGTTCGGGGTGTCTCTGAAGGGTCAAGGTTCTCTTTTGTGCCCTTCAACGCCCAGCTTCCATTTCCTCACCTCAAAAGTTGGTAAGAGCACCTGTCTCTCCACTCCAGGCCATACCGGAGGTGGCCCTGCAGGGTAATAAGGCATCTGGTGTTTAAGACTTTTAAGTGCCAGGCTCCAGGAAATTTTTTTTTTTCATTATCTGGGTTAAAAGAGGGACAGTCCTAAAAAACAGGTGCTGTGATTACCTCTGTCCAGCAGACTGTGTGTCTGATTCAGTGCGATCCCATCACAGCTGGCTAGTGGTGGGGGAGTCAGGAGGCTGGGATGTGAGCCCAGGCAGGCTCTGTGGCTTCATCACTCCTGGTATCTTTAGGACCCTTGCAAGAACCACCAGGACATTCAAGGCTTGTAAGTCCCCACCCTGGAGGCAGACCTGTGTGACCTTGGGCCTCTCCCTCAACCTCACCTGTAGAGTGGAAGCATTAGGACCTACCTGAGAGTGCTGTTGGGCAGACTAAATGAGACCACACACTAAAGAGCTTGGTGCAATGCCCGGTTGGGGGAGGTGCTCAGGGAACATCAGAGCTGTTACCGTGAAGGGAACCACACAACCTGCTGGCCACCCCTTCTTGCCCCTCCCCAGGGATGCCCTGTTCACCATCCAGTGGAATATCCGTGCCTTCAACGCTGTCAAGAATTGGTCATGGATGAAGCTCTTTTTCAAGATGAAGCCACTGCTGCGTTCGGCACAGGCTGAGGAGGAGCTGGCTGCCCTACGGGCAGAGCTACGGGGGCTGCGAGGGGCGCTGGCCACTGCGGAGGCCAAACGCCAGGAGCTGGAGGAGACGCACGTCAGTGTCACCCAGGAGAAGAATGACCTAGCTCTGCAGCTGCAGGCAGTGAGTTGGGGTGGCGAGAGGTTTCCCTGGTGTCCCCTGGCACTCCCAGTGAACCCCAGGCTGCTGTGAGGAAATACCACCACCAGACCCCCCACCCCTGGCCAGGATGGACCTGGTGTGCTCTGGACATGCAGGCCTTCCCCAGATCTCTGTTCCTACTCCAGTGGTGCCACGGGAGGGGGCTGTGGGCTCGTGCCCATGCTCAGCCTCCTACATCCCAGCCTCCCCAGCCATGGGCTCAGTCTGTCTGTGTACCCTAATGTTTCACCCTATGCCACCTTAATTTCTTGGCTAAAGCTGCAATGGAACCCCATCTCCCCAGCTCTCCCCTCTTTGCCGTCCCTGAAATAGACCTGTACTATCTTCTCTGGTTAAGGGCCATGGGTACCCAGGTGGCAGGTAACAGTAATAACCAGAGGGCAGGGATCAAGGGTCAGGAATCTCCTCAAGCCCACAGAGCCATTCTTTCATTCAGCAAATATGTTGAGTGTCACCTACATGCTAGGTTAGCTCTGGAGATACATTGGTGGGAACACAGAGATGGGCCTGTGGTCACAAAACTCCCAGCTAGTGCAAGAGACCATCAGGCAGCCAGGCGGTGAGGAACCAGGGAGGTGGGAGAGAATCCCTGAGCTTCTCTGTGGCAGCGCAGGGCTTGGCATGCCCACTGCTCCCCACCCCACCCCCTCAGAAGGCCTCAGCCCAGTGCGTCTCCCCTAGAGCCCTTGTTTGGGCCTCTCTCTGGGTTGTCCCCAGCCTAACATTTCCCTCTTGATTTTGCCATTTCTGCCCCTGCCCATCCCTCTACCAGAGTCCTCATCCGACCTGAGCCCCTTCAGGGCCAAGAGCAGGTCACAGGCATTCCTTGGTCCCCAGAGCCCAGCTGAGCACTGGTGTCAAACCTTTGCCTGGACAAATGAACTGGTATCCCTCAGCTCGTTTGCCTGGCCCTGCCTCGACTCTGCCCCACTCTGTGTCCCCTGCAGGAGCAGGACAACTTAGCAGATGCGGAGGAGCGCTGCCACTTGCTAATCAAGTCCAAGGTACAGCTTGAGGCGAAGGTGAAGGAGCTGAGCGAGCGGCTAGAGGAGGAGGAGGAGGTGAATGCCGACCTGGCCGCCCGCCGACGCAAGCTGGAGGACGAGTGCACGGAGCTCAAGAAGGACATCGATGACCTGGAGCTGACGCTGGCCAAGGCCGAGAAGGAGAAGCAAGCCACTGAGAACAAGGTGGGGCCGGGTGGGCTCGGAGGAAAGGCCCAGGGTCGGGGCTGGCTTTGGGGCCAAGGAGCTGCAGTGCCCCATCCGGGCTCTGCCAGGCCCGCGAGGTAGCCTTGGGCAAGTCACTGCCTCTCTCTGCCTGAATTTCATCTGCCAAATGGGGTTAAGAGCATCACTGTACCTCATGCGGGTGGGTGAGGAGTCAATGTATAACTAGTCCTTGCCAGCACTCACCACAGGCCTAGTATACAGCAGGTGCTCAGCAAATGCTAACGATTGTCATCCAATGTGGACTGCAAGCTCCTGGCGGGCAGGAACCCCATCTCCCAGCTCTAGCCTCCAGGCTGAGAGCGCCTTCACATGCCTTCTATCCTTAAGCTTTTTCGACAACCCCATGTGGTTCACAGACCTGGGAGTATTGACTCCATTGTACAGGAGGGGAAAGTGAGGCTCGGGGGTAGGCTGCTTATTCAGATTCTACCAGGTGCTCACTGAGGAAGCCAGGACTCGGGAACAGCCATCTTGAACACCTGTTGAAGCCACACATAGCTGGCGTTTATTATCTCTCACTCCGGACTGGGCACTGTGCGAAGGGCTTTGTGAGCATTTGCTCATTAATCCCTTAGTACACCTTGGGGAGAATGGTACTATCATCCTCTAGGGATGAAGAAAAGAGGGTCAGAGTGAAGTGACTTGCCAGAGGTGCCCTTGCTAGAAGGGGCAGTTGCTGTGACCCGGCACAGTGGATGCTCAGACCAGTGTGGGCTGGACATCCCCATGGTGACCCTGGCCTTGGCACAGGTAAAGAACCTGACGGAGGAGATGGCAGCACTGGACGAGTCAGTGGCCCGGCTGACGAAGGAGAAGAAGGCACTGCAGGAGGCCCACCAGCAGGCCCTGGGCGACCTGCAGGCCGAGGAGGACCGTGTGAGCGCACTGGCCAAGGCCAAGCTCCGGCTGGAGCAGCAGGTGGAAGACGTGAGTCAGGGCCACGGCAGAAGGCTGTGCGGTGGTACCGGGAAAGCTGGGACGGTGACCGGCTGGGCCCAGTGGCTGAGCAGTCTGCCCCACCCCGCTCCATAGCTGGAGTGCTCCCTGGAGCAGGAGAAGAAGCTGCGCATGGACACGGAGCGGGCCAAGCGCAAGCTCGAGGGTGACCTGAAGCTGACGCAGGAGTCAGTGACAGACGCCGCCCAGGACAAACAGCAGCTGGAGGAGAAGCTCAAAAAGTAGGCGTGGGGTGGGCAGCAGACCCGACCCCAGGCTGGCAGGGGCCTCCGGAGCCTGCACCTGCTTCTCACACCCTCTGGACTCTAGTCCCACATGACTGCAGAGGATGAACATGGAGGGTTGAGAGATGTGGGTCGCTGGGGTGCCGGGGGTGGTGTCCGGCCCTTCCTGAACCTCGGGCCTCAGCCAGGCTCTGGGGCCAGGGTTTGAGAGGGAACGCAGGGGTGAGGTCACAGGGCTACTCTGGGTACAGAGTGCCTCAGGCAGGGTGTGTGCGGGGTGGGGGTGGGGTGGGGGGTTCCTGGGGGACCCCAGGCAGGTTGATGGAAGTTAGAACCAGGGCAGGCTCATGCCCGGCTGTGACCTCCAGGAAGGACTCTGAGTTGAGTCAGCTGAACCTGCGGGTGGAGGATGAGCAGCTCCTCGGGGCCCAGCTGCAGAAGAAGATCAAAGAGTTGCAGGTGTGTGGGGGATGGGGGCGGGCGGGGACTTGGGTCAGGGGCCCACAGAGGTGACAATCGCTGCTCTGCTGTCCTCAGGCTCGGGCGGAGGAGCTGGAAGAGGAGCTGGAGGCAGAGCGGGCGGCCCGAGCGCGTGTGGAGAAGCAGCGGGCGGAGGTGGCCCGGGAGCTGGAGGAGCTGAGTGAGCGGCTGGAGGAAGCTGGCGGTGCGTCCGCGGGGCAGCGCGAAGGCTGCCGCAAGCGTGAGGCGGAGCTGGGGCGGCTGCGGCGGGAGCTAGAGGAGGCGGCCCTGCGGCACGAGGCCACTGTCGCCGCCCTGCGGCGCAAGCAGGCGGACAGCGCAGCGGAGCTGGGCGAGCAGGTGGACAGTCTGCAGCGGGTGAGGCAGAAGCTGGAAAAGGAAAAGAGCGAGCTCCGCATGGAGGTGGATGACCTGGGCGCCAGCGTCGAGACACTGGCCCGTGGCAAGGTGTCTGCCTCCTTCCTGACCCTGACTGGCCTTCAGCATCCTCTCCTGACCCCTAGCTGATCCCACAGCCATCCGAACTCTAAACCAATTCTGCCTCCAACGGCTGACCCCACCCTCTGACCCCTGACTAACCATGCCAATATCCCATACTAGTCCTGACCTTGTACTGGATCCTGACCCCTGACCTGTTTACCTGGCATCCGACCCCAACCCCACACCAGTCCTGACCCCAAACCCTGACTCCAGGTCATTTTTGACCCAGCAATCAATTCCAGCCTCTCAGCCCTTGACCTGTGAACTCTGAACTAATAGCTGTCCTGTTTCTGTCCTGAATCCCAGCACCCAGGGCCTTGACCCCTGAGCTTTAATATCCACTGAGCCTGACAGCTGGCCTCTGACCACTGTCCTCAACTGACTTCAGACTCTAGTATCCTAACCTCACCCTGACCCACTAGCCTTGGGACTAGTCCAGCCCACTCACTGCTGATGCCCATCTTTTTTTTTTTTTTTTTTTTTAAGCTGAGCCATCCTGCCACCTGTTGGCAGCTCAGCAGCGGCTCAGCTCAGGCCAGGAATCGAACCGCTGTTACTCAGAGCTCAAACTCTTGAGCGAGCTCTTAACCAACTGAGCCACTCGGCCGACCCTGATGCCCATCTTTTAAACCACAGCCCAGGAGTGGAATCTCTGACCCTGAACTTGGGGCTCTGCTCGCCCTTTGATTTCTGGGCCCATGTCTAGCCTTCTATTGGGTTGTCAGAAAAGTCATGATGTATTTTTTTCTCTGTTTTTCATTGCAAAAATGCGTCATGACTTTTCTGACAACCCAATAGTTCCCCATCCCAGGTTCCAGTCTCATTAGCAGCTGTAGATCCTGCCCTCTTGATTTATAAACTTGTCCTGACCCTGGATCCCAGGCCAGTGCAGAGAAGCTGTGCCGGACCTATGAGGATCAGCTAAGTGAGGCCAAGATCAAGGTGGAGGAGCTGCAGCGGCAGCTGGCAGACGCGAGCACCCAGCGCGGGCGGCTGCAAACGGAGAACGGTGAGGCCAGGGGCTCAGGTGGGTGCCCCTGGGGCCTCATTGCTGCCCCTCACCTGCCTCACCTGCCTGCTCACCCCTTGGCCTGCAGGGGAGCTGAGCCGCCTGCTGGAGGAGAAGGAATCTCTGATTAGCCAGCTGAGCCGTGGGAAGGCCTCAGCCACCCAGAGCCTGGAGGAACTTCGGAGGCAGCTGGAGGAGGAGAGCAAGGTGGGCTGGCCACTGGCTGCCACAGGGCGGGCAGTGTGGGCGCAAGGGCCACTGGCCGGGCCCTATGCTGACGTCGCTGGGGTCCCCGCAGGCCAAGAGTGCGCTGGCCCACGCTGTGCAGGCTCTGCGGCACGACTGCGACCTCCTGCGGGAGCAGCATGAGGAGGAGGCAGAGGCCCAGTCTGAGCTGCAGCGGCTGCTGTCTAAGGCCAATGCTGAGGTGGCCCAATGGAGGAGCAAGTACGAGGCAGATGCCATCCAGAGGACTGAGGAGCTCGAGGAGGCCAAGTGAGCGCCGTTCCAGCCAGGCCATCACCACGCAGGGGTGACGCCTGCGCCTCTGAGCGCTTTTGGGGCGAGGGGACATGTGGGGGACCGTTCTTCTGCCAGCCTCCCTCTGCCACACAGTCCATACCCTGTCTGTTCCTGTGGCCTAGAAAGAAACTGGCACTTCGGCTGCAGGAGGCAGAGGAAGGAGTAGAGGCCGCGCATGCCAAGTGCTCATCGCTGGAGAAGGCCAAGCTACGGCTGCAGACAGAATCCGAGGACGTAACCCTGGAGTTGGAGCGGGCGACCTCAGCAGCTGCCGCGCTGGACAAGAAGCAGCGGCACTTGGAGCGGGCACTGGAGGAGCGGCGGCGCCAGGAGGAAGAGACGCAGCGGGAGCTGGAGGCGGCCCAGAGGGAGGCCCGCAGCCTGGGCACGGAGCTCTTCCGGCTGCGGCACAGCCACGAGGAGGCTCTAGAGGGCCTCGAGACCTTCAGGCGGGAGAACAAGAACCTCCAAGGTACGGCCCACCCTAGGCAGGGTCCGAAGCCTCGCTGGGGCCATTGGGAGCACCTTGGAGTCACACAGGGTGACCTGGGTTGGGGCATGAGCCATGGGAGTGGCCCCTCAGTCCCCTGTCCACTTTGTAGAGGAGATCAGTGACCTCACAGACCATGTCAGCCTCAGCGGGAAGAGCATCCAGGAGCTGGAGAAAGCCAAGAAGGCTCTGGAAGGGGAGAAGAGTGAACTCCAGGCTGCACTGGAGGAGGCGGAGGTCAGGGGCTGGCCACATGGGTGGGGTGGACACTGACGCGCTCCCCTGGCCTCCTGCCACCTCCCTGAAGACATGCTCAGGGCCCCCAGGCCACACTGCCTCTTCTGCACCCCAGGGGGCCCTGGAGCTGGAGGAGACCAAGACTCTGCGGATCCAGCTGGAGTTATCCCAGGTCAAGGCTGAAGTGGACCGGAAGCTGGCAGAGAAAGACGAAGAATGCACTAACCTGAGGTTTGGGGGCCGGGGCCTCCCTACCCACTACCACCCAAGGATCTATCTGTCCTCCCCAGGGCTAACAGCCCCTCCCTAGTAGGAGAAAGCAAGGAAAGCAGGGTTTGCTGAGCCCCCACTATGTGCAGACTGGCACCAATACTAGTTTGCCCCGCCCACTCAACTTTCTCAGGTCGGGATTATCGTCCGGTCTGGAGGTGAACCTTGGAGGCTACGACACTGGCTCAAGGGGACACAGTGGGGGTAGAGCCAGAGTTCAGCCCATGTCTATTTGCTCCAGACCCTCACTCTTGTCTGTCAACTTGCTCTGATGGGCAATAGGTGGTCACATGGGGCTTGAAACCAGGAAGGGATGGGCTTGCATCTCCAGCATTCTGTGGGTGTTTGTAAGAGCAGGTGTGGTGCTTATGCCCACCTGTTTTTCAAAGGCCAAGACCCCACCCCCTTCAATCTTCCTCCCACAGGCGCAACCACCAGCGGGCAGTGGAGTCCCTGCAGGCCTCCCTGGATGCAGAGACACGGAACCGCAACGAGGCCCTGCGGCTCAAGAAGAAGATGGAGGGTGACCTCAACGACCTGGAGCTGCAGCTGGGCCATGCCACCCGCCAGGCCATGGAGGCACAGGCAGCCACAAGGCTGCTGCAGGCCCAACTCAAGGAGGAGCAGGCAGGGCGGGACGAGGAGCAGCGGCTGGCGGCTGAGCTCCGGGAGCAAGCCCAGGCCCTGGAGCGGCGGGCTGCACTGCTGGCCGGGGAGCTGGAAGAGCTGCGGGCCGCCATGGAGCAGGGAGAGCGCAGCCGGCGGCTGGCGGAACAAGAGCTGCTGGAGGCCACCGAGCGTCTCAACCTCCTGCATTCACAGGTGGGGACAGGGATTCCCAGGTGTGTGTGGGGTGGTCACCTGCTGTCTGATTCTGAGGCTCTGCTTCCCCCCAGAACACAGGCCTCCTGAACCAGAAAAAGAAGCTCGAGGTGGATTTGGCCCAGCTGAGCGGAGAGGTGGAGGAGGCTGCCCAGGAGAGGCGGGAAGCTGAGGAGAAGGCCAAAAAGGCCATCACGGATGTGAGGCTGGGTCATGGGGGGCTAGGAAGAGCTCCCAAAAGGACTTCCACTGGGGCTGGTCACCTCCTGACCATGCCACCTCCTTCCCCACAGGCAGCCATGATGGCTGAAGAGCTGAAGAAGGAGCAAGACACCAGTGCACACCTGGAACGGATGAAGAAAACACTGGAGCAGACGGTGCGGGAGCTACAGGCACGGCTTGAAGAGGCAGAACAAGCCGCCCTACGGGGCGGGAAGAAGCAGGTGCAGAAGCTGGAGGCCAAGGTGTGTGCGGCTCTCCCTGTCCCTTCGCCTGTACAGTGGGCAACCTGAGGGCAGGCTTGGGGCACCAGGCCCATCCCCCGGCTGCTTACAGGTGCGGGAGCTGGAGGCCGAGCTGGATGCTGAGCAGAAGAAGCACGCTGAGGCCCTCAAGGGAGTGCGGAAACATGAGCGTAGGGTCAAGGAACTCGCATACCAGGTGGGTGACAAAGTCCACCTTAAGGGGCGGCCCGGGAGGTGGTCTTGTCGGGGCAAGATCTGAGTCCCCTGTGCCTGTGCAGGCCGAGGAGGACAGGAAGAACCTGGCTCGCATGCAGGACCTTGTGGACAAGCTGCAGAGCAAGGTCAAGAGCTACAAGCGGCAGTACGAGGAGGCGGTGAGTACACTGGGTCTGGGCCTGCGGGGCCTGGCGCGCCTGTGGTAACCCAACTTCAGTGCTGCCCAGGCTCTGTGGCCCGGACACCAGCAGCTGTGAGCCCTGCTCCGTCACTGGGCCATGACTTCCCTGTTGTTGGCTTTGTGTGGGGGCAGTGACCCTGCTGTCCCAGTGAGAAGTTTCTTACAGCTCTGACAGCAAGAGATTAGACCCAGCTCTGTCTTTGAAGGGACCCCACGTGCTTCCCCCTTCTGGGCCAGGTCCGGCACATGGGCACCTCAAAAAGGATGTTTCAACCCCCTCTTTCGGGTACTGGTGGGAACTAAGTTGAGAACCAGAAGCCACCCCCTTCTGGGGATGGGGTGGAGACCAGACTGACCACCTGTTACCAAGAGGTGACCCGGCCTGCCTGGGCCCCCAGGAGCAGCAGGCCAGCACAAACCTGGCCAAGTACCGCAAGGCCCAGCACGAGCTGGATGATGCAGAGGAGAGGGCGGACATGGCAGAAACCCAGGCCAACAAGCTGCGGGCGCGGACCCGGGATGCTCTGGGCCCCAAGGTAAGGAAGGTCGTGGCTTGGGGCACCACCCTGCCCTCCACATGGGGAAGGGGGTACAGCTCACTCAGCCACCCCTCTTCCTCAGCACGAGTGATGCCTGCAGTGTGCCCCTGACCTCATCTGCTGAACCTGAACAAATGGTCACGTCTACAGCTCCAGCTGGCTTCCTTGTCATTCTTTGGGGCTCGGGAGGTGAGGGGAGCACACCGTCCCATGGACAAAAGTCAGGTCCACATCAGTCATTTAAAATAAAGTTCTTTAATAGTCTCCACTTAATTGGTTTGTTGTTAATAAATTGGCAACACAAGGAGGGGCCAAGGGTGTGCTCCCAGGCAGGCTCCTGTGTGTCGGCTCAGGCAGGAGACGCTGCTGTGGGGCAGGGGCTGGGCACAGCCACCCCGTGCCGCAAGGGATGGAAGGAAAGGTCCTCCATTTATGGGGGAACCCCCTGGGATAAACACAGCGGCCAATGAGCAAACAGAACCAGAGGAGCTAAAGGAAAATGAGGGAGGGAGGGACGGATGGGCAGGCTTGGGGGAGGGTAGCATTCTCTCGTATCCCCCACCCCTGCCCAGGGCTCAGAGGCCTTTGCCTGGGTCCAAAGGCCGGGGCAAGCGTGGCTCACAGATTGGGGGAGGGTGCACGTATCTCCCTCCCCACCCCAGGACTGACAGCCAAGAGACTGGGCAGGAGCTCAGACAGAGCTACTATGAAAAGTCCCCTTACCTCTGGGCGGGCCCCAAGGCTCTGAACGAAGGGTGGGCTAGTGCCCTCGTCTTCATCATGGGGATCTTGAGGGAACTGAGGTTCCCCAATGATGGATGCTGGGGCTCTCAGACCCAGGGGCCAAGGTCTTCTAGACACTCCCTCCCACCAAGCCTGTACCTGAAGACCTGGGGCAGGCAGAGAGCAGCAGGAAGGCAGGGGTAGGGACAGGGCAGGGCGTGTGACTCGCACTGGCCCAGCAGCCTCCGGAGGCCTGGCCCAAGGTCACTCCTCGGTGAAGTCCCTGTCTATGTCCATGTAGGGCTCCTCGATGTAGCTGACAAGGGCAGAGGGTGACTGGCGGTCCGGGTTTAACAGGATGGACACGGTCTCTTTCCAGTATGAGAAGCTGATGCAGGAGCTCTGGGCAAAGAGAGAGGGGCTTGGGGGCGCCTGGAGGACCAGGTTGAGCCCGGCACCCTGCGGGGAGGCCTTGGTAAGGGGACAGAGAGCTGCCCGCCACATGGCCCAGGTGGGCACATGGCCTGAATGCCCCTCTGAGGGGCCCTGGGTCTGCGTGCCCGCAGCCCACCCACCACACCCACTCGGGTGGAGCCCTCACGTTCTCCAGGCAGGTGCTGTCCTTGTCCTTGTGCAGGTAATGCTGCTGCCAGAAGCGCAGCAGGTTGTGGAAGTTGTTGAGCAGGAAGCCGGGGTACTTCTTGCTGTGTTCCATCCGCTGAAGCAGCCGCAGGTACAGGGGCAGCCGCTCTTTCCGTCGGGCCAGCATCAGAATCACGAGGCTGGTGTTGAGGCAGCTGACATTCTCCTGTAAGGCCCAGCCCAGCCGTGTCAGGTGCGGCCCCTGGTGGACCTGGGGTGCCACTGGGTAGGAAGGGGGTGGCCCAGGCCCTGCGGAACCACGCACTGAGCTGCCCCTGCACAAACCTGAGAGCGGACTGGGGAAAGGAACAATGGTAGCACTGCCAGCATCCTGCCGAGCACCTTCTGGTCCCTATGCCACCTACCACTCATTTCCACCCCAAGGGGAACATCATCCAACACCTGCCTAGTTAAAGTCTACCCCTTCTCCCCAGCCAGCTCAGTCATCGCTCTTCCAGAAGCTTCGATCTCCGGGGCAGGGCTGGGTGCACGCGTTAGATGCAGTTATCATCTCCCTTTCTAACTTCACGTGGCACTAGACTGTGAGCATCAGGAGGGAGAGTCTCGGTCTGTTTTGTTCACTTTGCACCCCCGGCCCAGGGCCTTGCCTCACTAAATGTGTGTCAGGTAAAGGAACAAAAGAAACACCTCCGAGAGATACTAGTATCACCCCCATTTTTGAGAAGAGGGGCGTGAAAAGCTCGGAGAATGATGGCTACAGGGCTATTTGGTGAAGGAGGTGCGCGTCAACTTGAGGCCCAAGCCCGAAGCCTGCACAGCAGGCGGGGTGAGGAGAGCACTGGAATGGGAGTCAGAACGCCAATCCCAGACCGTCTGCCCCGACCCATCTGTGACCTAAGGGACTTGGTCCCTCAGGCCCCATCTGTAAAATGAGGCACCGATCCCTTAGTGGAAAATGCCCTCAGAATAGCTGGGTGGGTTTCCTAGGAACTGAGACACAGATGTCAGGGAGACATACCCTGGGGGAAGGTGGGGCCCTGGGACAGTCTCCTCCCCCACTGCCCCGCAGGGCCTCACCTGGGTCAGGGTCTGCACATGGATGATATTGATCAGGCGGAAGAGAAAGGACATCTGCGTGGGAACCTGGGATATGTAGGCTAGAAGGCGGCACTCAGACAGGACCTCAGCAACTGGGACGGAGAGGCAGAGGTGTGATCAGCGGCCGGCCACCCAGGCCTCTAGTCAAGCCCTGCTTGGGTCCTCACTCGGAAGCCTAAAGCCCCAGTTGTCAAAACAACTAAAGAAAAGGTTGGCCGCAGCAGAACAGTCAGCAGCTGCTCTGCCACCCCGGCTAAGCCTGTGTTCTCCTTAGAGCCCCAACGGGAGCTCCCCGCCACCTCCCTTCAGTCGTGCCCAGGAACCACCTCTCCCGAGGCTGTCCCCAGGTTTCACCACCTGGGTCCTTCTCATCCCAGGCAATCCCAGCCCAGGACAGAAGTGTTTGTTTGTTTTTTGCATTCTGCTGGCAACAATGGTTTTTCACCTGCTTTACATTGTTGTGCATGCTCATTAAAGGAATCACAAACAACAGAGAAAAGTAAAAGCAGCAAAGAAAACTGTCTGGAGAGCCACCATCTTGATCCCAGACACGCGGACGTCTGGTGCGGCTACTTCTAGCCTTTCTTGGCTCCTTGCCGAAAGTCGGTGTCTGACACCAGCAGGGCCACACTGGACAGATTCGCCTCGGCATTCTGGCCTTTCCTTACCTTTCATGTCCACCTGGTTTTCAAATCGGTCCAGTGACAGAGTGACGCAGCGCACCAGCATGTTGGAGTCCACCAGTGAGCTGTTGATCTGCTTCAGAAACACCTGGAACTGAGCAGAGATCGGGCTCAGGCGGGAGGTGGCAGGCTTCTGGCTGCAGGCGGCCATGGCCCAGGGCGGGCAGTCACTCAAAGGGCACTGAGCTATCCCTGCCTGGCTGTTTCTGATAGGAAGTCAGGGGCTCAGACAAGCTGACTGACCTGCCCTCACCTCCCACTAACAAGCAGCCCCAGCAGGAGCTCAACCAGATCTTCTGACACCATGTCCAGTTTCTTCCACTGAAGGGTGCTGGACTCATTTTTACGTCAATTAGTCTGAGCTGGGTTTCTGTCACATGCACCCTCTGAGCCTAATACACCAGGCCCAGTCCCATCCATCTGGGGCTCATCATGGTACCCACCACACTGCACCAAAGCCATTTTCACAGCCCACCTGTTCCCAACCCTTACACCTGCCCATAAGCAGCTGACACTTTCATGCCCGGCACAGACAGGTGCTAATGAATGCCTGCTCAAGACTGCCCACTGACTCCCCAAGTATTCTCCAATTTAAAACCAGCACCTGAGAGTGGCGAGGACCAGGGCTCCCAGATAACGTCTGGACAATGCAGCCAACCCCGCAGAGCACTAGGCTAGTCTTACCTTTGCATCAGTGTTGATGTACTTATTGAATCTTTTGAATGCATCAACATTGAACTTCATCAGCTCCCCCAGGAGATCAAAGTAGCTCTGGAGCACATCCCTCGACTTGCACTCACTGTCCACAATGCAGTACAAGATGTGCTGGGGGTAGGAGAGGACAGGGTGAAGGCAGGAAGGCAGCTGAGCCCTGGGGCCAACAGGCAGCTCTGACTGCCACCCTCAGGCTGAGCTCTTCTAAGCTGCCTGCCGCCTGCCTCCCACCAGGGCCTGGCACATAGTTCAGACCACACGACATGTGCTTTGAGCAAGCATCCAGGTCAATGGAACCTGCATCCCTGTCTAGATTCTCATCTGAGGATGCTGGTGGCTCCAAGGGCAGGGTCAGGCCCGACACCTCATAGGAGGTGAGGGAGAGCTGGGGTATGCTGCCACAACCCCTCGCTTGCCCAGGGCTCAGAGCTAAAGCCTGTGACCTGCTCTATAGGCACCAAGGTGGCCAGGGCTCTCCGGATTGCAGGCGAGGGGAACCGTCGCCAGGGGTAACACTGGCCACTGCCCGAGCACTGAGGCCACTGAAGTAAATGAAGCACGGGGTTTAAGGGCACGGGACACATTTTGACCCCATGGTTTGTTTTTATGTTTAGTAAAAACACTTACACTAGAACCAATGAATTTTTTATCAAGAACATAAAGCCAAGTTAACTCCTTAATAAAGTTAAATTGTTTCCATTTTTCATTTTCATTTTTCTGAAGTTACATTGATTTGGATCAATTATTTTCCAAATGGATTTTACCACAATTCATGGGTCAGTTTCTTGTCCATACACATATATATGTATATGAATATATTTATATATATATATGTGTGTGTGTGTGTGTGTGTGTGTGTGTGTATGTTAAAACAGTTATAGCTTTGTCCATTTTGCTCCCCCCTTTGTAAACTTTGCTTTTCCTGAAAGCCATTTTTCAATAAACGGAAATAAACTTTTAGGCAGCAGCAAAATATCCTCAGGGTCAAAAGGCCTTGCTGGGTAACTCTAAGAGTCCTATGCCCGCCCATGGCCACCCCCCGGATCCCTCCATCACCCATTAAGCACCCATGGGGAACCCGCAGTTGGAAACTCAGGGCATGTATTAGGGCAGCCTGCACTGGCATTTTCAAATCAAGAGATTCGGTTGCTCCTGCCCAGCTGACTAGGTCTCAGGATAGGAAAGCGACGCGTGGGGCTGTGGGAGGACGGGGTGCCCCACACCCTGCTCCTCCAGGCCATTACCTCCAGAAGGCCTCGCTTCAGCAGGAACATCTGGTCTGCATAGGAGGTGGTCCCTCGGAGGAAACTCTCCACAGCCCGGGCTTGCCAAAACCTGTGACCCAAATGTTGACCCCTGGCCGAGGTGGCTAAGGCTGCCCTCTTCTGGTCCATTCTCCATTCCCCAAGGGGCTGGGAGATGTTTGCTGCCTTTTCATTTATTCAACAGACATTTATAAAACATCTACCAGGCATCAGGCCTCAACTAGGCACTGGGGACATAGCAAGAGTCCCCAACCTCATGGAGCTGACAACATAGGAATATTCCTTTATTGGGTTTTGTCTGGAAGGAGCTGTCTCTCTGAAAAGAGCTGGTCCCAGTGAGTCACATGTGAAAATTTATTCTGGGCTTTGTTCTTTCAAGGACAGGAGGACATGAAAGACAGGGGCCAGGAATGTGTGAGGGAACGTCACAGATGTGTGGATGGGCCACTGAGCTCACATCTGATGGGCTGGCCTAGGGAAGAGGTGGCTGATGTTGACTGAGTGGCCCCAGAGGGCAGAGCTGGGACCCACGAGGGGAGTATGGACAAGGCAGGCTGAACTGATGGGAGAACACATGGGCATGGAGCCTACTGACAGCTCATCCCCAGCCCTGATGGAATGCCTCCCTCACCCGCTACTCCTATCCACAGCCTGCAGGACTCATCTTAAATGAGTCTAGGGGGCTCTAGGAAGCCCTCCCTATCCACATCCACCCCACCAGCTGGCGAAGGGGCTCTCCTTTGTTCCCACAGCTCCCGGGGCAGGTCCTGGCTCCGTGCCTTCCCACACTGCATTGCAACAGGCTTCTTTCATGCTTGTTCCCCACCCCCCAGGGAACCCCCTGTGGGCAGGGACTGCAGCTCCTGCTTCCCTTCTACCTGTCCAACACCAGCACAGACTAGGTGCTTGGTAAACGCCTGGTCAATTCTTGAAACACCGCTGGCACCCAGCAGAAGCTAATACAGACCTACTGTGTCAACACAGGGGAGATGGCAGTCAAACCCCCAGTCCCCCACAGTAACCAGACAGTGGAGTGGAAGCTGGTGACTAAAGGAGGTATTTCTAACCACTTGAGAAATACTTGGCTCCTGGGACCCTCAGGAGCAGCAGGTGCCTGTCCCCAGACCTACCTGAAAGATGACTCAGCTGGCTCCTTCTTCATGACCTGCAGCAGACGAGTCAATAAGCCCCTCTTCCCATCACACACCAAACTCCTGAAATAAAATAAAAGAGGGACATTGGTGGCAAGTCTGAGAGGATGACAGCTGCCAAGTTCCACTTGGCCAAAGGACTATTGTCTTGGGGCTCTGGGCTGGGTCTCTGTGCTGGCTTAGGTGGGGAAATCACAGGGGGACATTTCCAGGCCTCAGGATGCCCTCCTGCTCTACTGGGTCCAGAACACCCCACGGACTCCTGCAGTCTCAGAACTGGAGAGTGCATTCACACCACATCTCAGGCCAGCTTTTCCATGCCCAGACCCACTGGCAAGTGATCAGAGGCCAGAAAAATATCCAGAGTCAGACAGGGCTCAGACCTGTTGGAGGGAGGGCTGTTTACACCAGAAGTGGGCTGGGAACAGGCCACGGCAGAGTCTACCAGATAGGGCAAAGTCTGTGCCAATGGGGTGAGGCAGGGAGTACCCTGGACCCCCACTTCAGCTCCAGCTGGCCTTGGACAAGTACCCATGCCTCTGGCCTCAGCTCCCTGGTCTAGGAAGCAAAGGCAGGAGATGAGGAAATGATTCAGGACGCATCATGGGGGAGAGGGGGCCAAGCAGGCAGAGGTCTGGGCCCTCGAACTTCCTCTTCAAATAAAGCTGCTCTGCTTGTATCCATTATAGACATTAGGTGAGACTGTACACATTTCATTTGAACAGAGAGTTCAGCTGCCTTAGAAAACAAAATGAAACAAAAGCTGGGGATTATGACTCTCGTTGCTGGATACAGTCGTCCCTGCCCTGACCCTGTGAGCCTGTGACCTCCTTGCCCAGTTCCAGAAGATGAGGCAAGCATAACCCAGCAAATGGGACTTGGCAGAGGCTGAGGGGGCCTGCTTCTGCTTGTCCTGCTTGGCTGCAACTGCCACCATGTAAGAAAGGGGGATGTCAGCAAAGGTGAGCGACGGGGAGGGGACAGAGCACCCATGACCTCTGGCAGGTGACCTCTCCGAGCCCCTTTTCCCCCATCTGTAAAGTGGTGGTGAAATGGCACTTCCCTCCCAGGGCTGCTGTGGGGCTCCAATGACGTAACGCAGGTGACATAAGGACAGTGCCCTGCACACAGGAGCCCTCAGGACATTGTAGCTACACACAAGTGAGAAAGGCCAAGTGTGCACAGGGCACACAGGCACCAGGGCGGCTGGGCCGAAGCTGCACCCCGGCCACGCTCACCTGTCCGTGTTGAGGACGGCTTCCACCTCGGGGATGTTGGCCTTGAGGGAGATGGCACTGAGCTCATTCAGCTCCTGGTTGTTCAGCAGCAGGTACTTGTTTCTGGAACAAATGGGTTGGAGAGGGTTAAGGACAGGAACTGGGGATGCCAGGTCAGCACTGGGCTAGTCCCCTGCCCATTTCCTGTGAAGATGGGA